ATTCTCTGCACCTTCTTTCTGGACTTCAGCTTCTCATCCTCAGCATTACTGACACCTGGGGCCAGATGCTCCCCCGCTGAGGGGCCATCTCGTGCATGGCAGGGTCTTTAGCACCCTCAGCTGGGAATGGGACAACCAAAACCATCTCCTGAGGATGCACATGTGCCCTGGGGCACCACCGCCCTTGGATGAGTCTCTGCCCTCCCTGAGTGAGCTGTTGCCTACCCCTGAGGCGTGAGGATGCAAGCGCCTTCCTCCTCAGCCTGTCTGCCCCACTTGGCCTCCTGAAGGTTTTGACTCTGGGCTTCCTGTCTCTCCCAAGCCACCAGTTCTTCTGACTTCACCATCCCAGTGGCCTTCAGCCTCTGGTTCCCTGAACTTCTGCATGATCTGGCCTCTCCCTTGGGCGATGTGTGACCTCTAGGCCCCGGGGATCCCACCATCAAGCACTCGTCATCCACAGACACCTCTCTCCGGCTTTGTCTTCCAGGGACCTTTACCGTGCTGGCGTTCTCTTCCTTCCACAGCCCCCACCGACCCCAGACTAAGCTTCAGGCCCATGGCCACCCATATAATCACCCAGTTCACACCCCACCAGTACCCGGGTCCCCCTCATGCTTTGCTGGCCTCACTTGGTTGAAACACAGGCCAAGCTAAATCCACCCTTCATCTGCTGCACAGCACAAAGGGCACGAGAAAAGCATCGCCTGCACCATGCCCGGCCTAATGCCTAATGGGCCTCAGCCCACAGCCTCCCTCTTCTCACGCTCTTATGGTGTCCGTGTTCTCATTATCCCCACCCCTCTCGGCTAAGGGTCTGACTTCGTGTTCAACGGAAAACCAGAATTGATCATGAAATTCTTCCCACTTCCTCATCTACCCCTGCCCTGACATCCGTGCTCACTTCCTCTGCTTGCCAGCACCTATGTCAGCTCACCCCCCATTTGCTCAAGGTGGCTGCTCCGAGTCCCCTGTGCTCCTCCGGCACATCTCCCTCTGGCTGAGTTACTCTATCAGCCGGAAACACCTCTCCCCACTTCTCTGGCACCCGCCCTACCCACCAACTCCAAGAGAAAGGAGCCAAGGCCGCACTCGCTGCCTAAGGCCTTGCCATGGCTGCATCCACTCCTCACCCAACTCCACAGCAGTGGGGGTGACAGGTGCAGCCCCATACTCCAGTGTCCACCTTCTTCCCTGGGCTTCCTAGCCCCCGGCCCCGCCCCGCCCCGCCCCCGCTGCCCTCCCCCTCGCTGGCTCTCTCCATCTCAAAACCTACCGACCACTGGGCCCCTTGGGCACTACCCTGCTTCACTCCACTCCCTCAGTGACCTTCGTCAGTCTTGTGGCTTTAGAATCCCATCTTCGATGAATAATTTTATCTTCCAGCTGACATCTTCCCAGGACCCCAGCCCCAGCCGACCTTCCCAGCGAGATATCAAGGCAGCTCATGCCTCCCATGCCCCTGGCCCCAGTCACAGCGCTTCACCCCCTCCCCCAGCTCAGACTGGAGTGAAACTGCCATGAACATATACTGTAAACCTGCACTCATTCTGTTTTTCTCCCTCCCTCGCACTCCACATCTAATCTATTGGAAAAACTGCTCAACTATCCTTAAAAATAATGCACTTCAAGAACGCAATTTCTTGCCACCTTGGTCCAAGCCACTATCCTCCCTCACCTTGATGACGTTCACAGCCTCTTCAGGGCCTCTGGCTTCCACCCTGGCCTCTCACCATCTGCTGTCAACACAGCCCTGAAGGGGTTCCTATTTAATGCTTCCTTTGCTTAGAGCCAAAGCTGTGTCTTTGTAATGTTTGATCTCTGCTCATTGCCTTGAAAATTACCCCTCCACTTCACACACTGGTTCGCTACACCTGCTCTGATGTTCACTCCGCCAATGCTCTTCCCCAGCTCTCTGCAGAGGGCTCCCTCTTTCCCTGCCTCTGTCTTACTTGAAAGTTACCCAGATGAAAATGTCCAGGCTCATTCCCTGGATTCCCACTCTCCCTTACTACATTCACCACGTCACCTGCTGATCATTTTACTGCACAGTCTGTCTCCCCCAGTCTGCAACTCCCATGAGCGCAGAAGGTTTTGTGTGTTCATACCCCTTGTCTAGGACAGCGCTGGACACGCAGGAAACCTTTAGTCAATGAGCACAGAGGATGTGTCTCCAGCTTCACTCATTCTCACACCACCTTTGTCACTTACCTTGACCCCTTCCTTCCTGCAAAGATTTTATCTTTCAAATTATTATTATTTTTTGGCTTTTTTTTCCGGTACCGGGAATCGAACTCACGACTTTGCGCTTGGCAGGCAGGCGCTGTGCCACTGAGCTAAATTCCCAGCCCCTAAAATCATGAATGTGTTTTTTTGTTTTTGTTTTTTTTTTTGGTACTGGGAATCAAACTCAGGACCTTGCACTTGCCAGGCAAGTGCTTGTGCCGCTGAGCTATATCCCCAGCCCCTCTTTCAAATTATTTTAACAATTCATCCATGTACAAATAAAACTAACCTCTCCTATTATTTTAAAATCAACACTACGTATATTGACAGGTCACAATGCGGTTAAATACTACAGTGATGTTAAAGCAATACTGAACTCTAGCTACGGCACTGTGGCCACAGATTAAGGACTAAAACCTGCTTCTCAGCTTAGAAGAGAGTGACAGCAGACACCAGCATCAGACAGACACTCTGATGACACCTCGCTTGGAAAGGGAACGCCTTGCTCACATGCAGTTCATTCACTGATGTGCGCTGCAGCCAGCACCTGGAGTACCAACTCCAGCCTTTGAGAACCACTTCACAAGAGTAGGAGGCCAGGACCCTTTGAGGGGAGGAGTGCCTGGTTCAGGATGTCAAGGCTGCAGGGAGGAGCCCCTGTTCCCCACTTGATCGGGGAAACCAGACTCAAGTTCTCAGGGTACAGTAGGCACATAGGTGCAGCTGCCAGGGTTGAGGGGTCAGGAAGACCCCCAGAATGCACTCTGCAGGCAGCTGGAGGCTCTCGTAGTCCAGGTGATGTGGTAAGCCACCCCTGCTATCTACCCATGCTGTGTCTGTTCCCTTTTCTTGAACTCAGTGGTTCTTTTAGCCTGTGCTGAACATCCCTTGGGTACCCTTAGGACAGACAGACCAGGATGCACTTGTGGAGCAAGTTGAAGAGTGTCACACCTCCCCAGCTTTTAGTCTTCTCAGGGTACTCCAGTGAAACTGGGCACCAGAGCTTTGGGGTGAGAGAATGGACATGGTTTCCCTTGAGAATGGACATGGTTTCCATCGGGCTGGTCTGGGTCACAAGTCAGGAAGGGTACGGGGAGGTACGTAAGCTCAGCCAGCTCCTCAGCAAACAAGGACTTTCCTCGGAATCACATAGTTTTATCAGCCAGACAAACCTCAACCGAAGCTCTCTCTGAGCCTGATCCATGTACCCGTCATTTGCCATTGTGCTACTTGAATGCACTCTGCAGGCAGCTGGAGGCTGCTGTAATCCAGGCTGTAAAAGCTACTTCCACATCAGAGGCACCAGAGCTAGCAGGTGGTAAAGACCCGGTAGTAATCAGTTTGACACTGCACAGGTCCCCTGCCCAGGTGGCCTGGTCCTAGACTAATCTCCAAGACTAGCTTACTTCCTAAACAGGTATGCAGTGACAGGCTTACAGGAGGTTTCAAAGAACTTCTGAAGGACAGACGTTTCCTTTCCAGTTAAAAAACGCTGCTTCCCCCCCGAGGTGCCAGCCTCTCCCGGTGCTGCGGTGCCCTTAAGAGTTTCACTGCACGGTGAACACAGAGTATCTGTCATTTAATTGAAGCCAATGCCTTTAATGACTAGAGATGTGCTTAATCTGGCTCCTTCCCGTCTGCTGATGGTAACCACCTGGGACTCTCTCTCTATTTCAGAGGGGCCCCCCCACAGGAAACCTCGCAATGACCCACCAGGTATCATGCCTCTGGCTTCGCAGCTCCTGTGTGTCGCGCTGTTTCCTTTCTGCCCGGCGCCCTCCCCGTACCCTTCCTTACTTAGTCTTTGCAAATGTCCATGAGATTCCTGTGAAACCTGAAAAGATGGGTATCCTGGATTAAAACTTTGTCTTACCAAAACAATCATGAAGGTGACAAGCAGACCTCATCTGTTGAGCCATTTTTCTTCCCCCTCTCTGGGCAGTGCTTGGCAGGTGATGTGGCATCTAATGTGGCCTTATCACTGCATTTGAATGAGATTCTTAGGTGCAGCATCACTTAATTTTTCTTAACTGCGTGTTGAGAGTCACTCAGGCTGTGAGGACACTCAGCAGCACTGTCCTCCCTGTATGATGAACATACCCTCTGAATTTGGCAGTCCACACCCTGGGCACATCCCTTGAGAATGGACATGGTTTCCATCGGGCTGGTCTGGGTCACAAGTCAGGAATAACACCACAGGTTCAGGTGACCACAGCCAGAAATTTGTCCTCTCACAGTTAAGCTGTCACGCACTGTCTACAAAGGACACGACTCACTGCCACGCTCAGATGCTGGGGCTTCATGGCGCTGCAGCAGTTTTGCTATTCACTTTGTTTTCGGTGCATGAGGGTGGGAACTGGCTGCCATCAAGCCAGGTAAAATCTGCAGAGCCTTTTTCAGAGACCTCATGGCATGCATGTGTTCAGGGACGGGGGTAGATGCCCCAGACTTGAGGAAGCACATGGGGCCCCTCTCGAGAGAACGCAGAGGCCTCTATTTTCCTGGGGCTTTAAGAACTTTTTTCACATTGTGAAGTGAGACAATGGGGGCCTGAGTTCTCTGACACCCCCCAACTGGGAGGTCAAACAAGCCCTCGCTTGTATCCATCTTCTCTTTTGGAGAATCTCAGCTCTGCTATTGTTACCAAATACTTAAAGCTGGGGGAGGTCTTGCAAGTATGTTGTGTAGATTGTGTGGGGTGGGGCAGATGAGTCTTGGGACAATGGGATGGCTCAGAGGGTGGTGCTCTAGAGCTGGATTCGGTGTGGACCTACCAGTCGGCTTCAGAGGTGGACATCTCATTTGTCAACGGTGCTTGGCAAGAACTCCAGTTCTCCAGGATTAGACCCTTTAAAAGAATCCACAGAGGGTCTCTTACTTCCTATAACAGAGGTAGTCATTGTCAAGCTTTGTCTAGCATTTGAAGCCAGTTCTTCCAAGAAAGGCACATGAGCCAGAAGGGACTGCCTTGTAGAGGTCAGCCAAGCAGGGAGCTCACAATGATCTAGGGCACGGGCTACTTCTCAGGTCAAGGGACAAAGTGATCCCCGAACTCTTCTGTTAGGAAATGCAGGCTCTTCCTGAAGGCAAAACAGAGTGCCTGAGCCTTAAAGCCCAATTAGGTCTAGTTCCCAGCTCTAGGATAGCTCCAGGCTAGGTCCTGGGGGCCAGAAGCGCCAGGGCAAGGGTGTAGGAGATGTGGGCAACATTCCATGTGCTCCTGATGCCCCTTTCTCTACCCTGACATTTGGGAACTTTCTCTCCAACCCACAGTTGTAGAGAGGTCACTGCTAGAGAGCTGGGGGCAGCTGATTCTCTCATGGGGTGGGAAATCTAGAAATGTCCCCTTAAAGCTTGAGTTGGAAGTGGGCATGACTTTAAGTATTTATTCCAGATCGCTGTACCTTGTGAAGCCCAAAAGGCTCACACGGGGATTCTCCTCTGCAATCATGAATCTCTGAGCCTTGCTTACGCCACCATCTCATCTGTCTGGGTTGTTTCTTTGGACAAAAGAAGGGGTCAGTGGTGTGGGCTTGCCTTTGTGGCTTTTCCATTCAGCCTCTGTGTGGTCAGCCGGGTGCTTTTGTTGCCAGAAGTCTGCTTTCTTCTTAATGCTCTAAAGTGAGTTGAGACCTGTCCTCTGATCAGGCTAAACATGGCCATCACTGCAATCATTGAAAATACACTTAAGTATGCCTATCAAACAGCAAAGATTAATCATAGGTGGACCTGATTTCCCCATCTGTCCACCCCTTACTTAGGTGACCAGTCCTTCCTGTGAAGCCAGGTGGGCCTGGATGATAACCAGAAGGCATGGGGCAGTCCCAGAGGAAAGAGATGACAGAGAGAGGGCTGTCCTACCAGCTAACAGTGACACTGGATTAACATGTTTAACTCACTCTTACAACAAAGATCCACTGAGCACATATTTTATGCCACGCATGGTACATACCACCGTCAGCAAAAACCAGATCAACAGGCACCAACTCCGACCAAAGTCTCAGAACCGGAAGCTGTGTACAAGCAGGGGACATCCTTCTGTGTCCGTCACCTCGATCCCTCTTGATGATGCCCTTGTCCATTTTCAAACCCTTCTTCCAATTATAAACCTCAACCCTCCCCATTTGTTCTGAGGGCAAGAACACAGCATGCTTGCTCTACTTCTGAATAAACACATGGGTGCACACTATCCCTACCTTTACACTTTTTTCTCCTATTCCAAACCCCCAAGGCCATACCAGAATAGAAGTAATCAAATGACCAAGCAGACTTTGTGTGTGGGGATGGTGCTGGGGATTGAACCTTGGGCCTTGCATATGCTAGGCAAGCATTCTACCACCAAGCTACACTCCCAGCCTCCGACTTCTTTTTAACATGTTCTTGCCAGCTTGAACCTCTAGTGGTACATACACGAGTGTCCCATCGGGCAGCTTATACCACCGGTGGTACAAATGAACCTAATCACTTTTATCAGTCTTCTTACTAATAAAATAAAAAGGCACCTGAGGGCACAGTCATGCATGTACCATGTACCACTGGTGGTTCAAGCTGCCCAGCAGCAAAACATAAATTATGACTCCGTTGTGAACGTATCAAAGTAGATAACCTTGCCTGAAAAAACCCACTCATTCCCCTACCTCAGCTGATTAAACACAACCAACCATACGTTAAGATCGGCCAGGATGTGTTGCCTTGAACTCGACTAGCTGCATCTTATTTGTGTTGAGTGTCTGTGTTTGGCCTTTGCCCCTTATAAAAATCTACTCCAACCTCAACAGAAATTCCCTTACTAGTCACATGTTTTCTTATTTAAACCAACAGGCGAGGAAACGAGACCTCGTTTGTTCCTTCTAGAAGGTCTGGAGGACGAAGAGTGATTGAAAATGCCGATGGTTCTGAGGAAGAAATGGACGCTCGTGATGCAGACTTCAACGGAACCAAAGCCAGTGAATAAACTCACCAGAGTTTTACATCACAACAGGGAAAGAAACAACAAAACCCAGCAGACTCTACTTAGCATTGTCTAAATCCATTCTCAAATTCCAGATCTCACTGCTACCCCTCACAATGATAAAAGGATTGCCCTGTAGCCAGGGTGTGAATCTCATTCAGTGTTTAGGTCGTACCAGAGGACAGAATCCCAGAAGACGGCAGCCTCCCATTCTGCTGAGTTTTCAGGAAAACGGCCACAGTAACCAGTCAGCAGCAACTTCATTTACACGAAAAGGGGAGGAAGTTTCCAAAATGGATGCCACTGCCCCTGCTTGTCCTCAACTCATGCCCTACCCTCCAGACCCCTCCCACTTCTTGAGTAAGACCCTTGTTTGAGAATTCTCTTCCCCTCTCCTGGTTGCCGCACGTCAGACACACACAGTTCACCCAGACCGAGTGCCTTCTGCAGTCACATGAATTACACAGGAAACGCTGCTCTAAGGGCTGAGAGCAGGGAAGCTGCACTGTCTTCTACACACCCTGACTGTACGGACACCGTCACTAATAAAAGGTTGTAAATCACCACCACGGAGTTGGCTTTCTGTTGGACTGTTTTCTTCCGAGCAAAAGAAAAATGAGAAGGGAGTTCCCATTTCATCCTCACAGTGATCCCATGAAGTCAGGGTTATTACTTCAGATATGGAGAGACTGAGGCCTAGGCAAGTAATATAAACTGCCCAAAAGCCCATGGCTGGCATAAGAAAGAACAGAGATGTCAAGTGCAGCTGAGGGGGCTTCTCCAACTAGGATGCAGGCAGCTAGAGGGTCAAGGAGTGAGATGTGGGTTGGCAAGGCACTGCTTGTGCCCTTGAACCTGACGGGGTGTCTATATTTATCAACCAAAACCCACTTGGCCTATACTGATTGAGCATCCCTAATCCAAAAATCCAAAATGCTCCAAAACTCACACTCTGCTGACCACTAATACAACACCATAACTGGAAAATGTCACACCTGACTTCGTGCAACAAGTCATAGTTGAAACACGGGCACTCTAAAATTACTGTTTACCTTCAGGCTATGTGGATCAGGCATATATGAAACATAAATGAATTTTATGTTTAGACTTGGGTTGTATTCCCAAGATATCTTATTATGCATGTGCTAACATTCCCCCTCCAAAAAAAATCCTAAATTTAAAAATGTTCTGGTCCCAAGCATTGTGGGTAAACAGTAGTCAATATATAATATGAATACAAGAGTTTGATTCTGTAAATTAAAACGTAAGATGCTTGCCTAGCACAGGTCAGCAAATTGTCTCTATAAAGGCCAGATAATAAATATTTCAGCATTTCCAGGCTACATTTAGTCTGTCAGACATTTTTTTTTCTAGTACTGAGGATTGAACCCAGGTCCTTTACACTGAGCTACAGCCTCAGTCCTTTTTTACTTTGAGACAGGGTCTTTAGTTAAATTCCCCGGCTGTGCTTGAATTTGTGATCCTCTTGCCTCAGCTTCCTAGAGTGCTGAGATTACAGATGTGTGCCACCATACCCAGCTCATCATTATTTTTTTCAAAAGGCTTCAAAACGTAAGAAACCATTCTTAGCATGAGGTCCTTCAAGAACAAGCCTGGGACCCTTTCCTTTTCTAGTTCCAAGGCTTTGGACAGACATGCCCTGCAAAGGTTCTACTTGACACTAACTATTCTGCACACTCACACAGTGGGCAAAACTGATGAGAGCACAGCAAACACAGAAACAAGAGGCTCAGCCATATAACCAAAGGCTGCTGCTACCTTGAATGATGGGTGAACACTTCCTGAAAACATTTCTAAAAAGCTGACTGGAACAGAAACTTTAAAAATGGATTTTTTTTTTTTCTACTTTGTGATTGCTAAAAAAGGTTAATTTTTCACCACCACATGAGCAAACATGGAAGTATACAAATGTGACAGCGCATCTACTGACCATACCACAAACCAGCCAAACACGAGTTCCTCTCCATTTTATTGTTCTTTAAAAAAAAAAAATAAAGGACATCTTTTACCACTCAGGTTAGAACATGTGAGGTGACAAACCCGGCCACAGCTGACTTCTCTGCCATATCTCAGGCGTGCTTAGAAAATCCTATTTTCCACTCAAGGCCTAGTTTCACTGGTTCTTTCAGAAAATAATTTAGTAAAAAGTGAAGGCCATCAGGCTGCACTCCTGTTCCTGAAACGCAGGGCTCTTTCCGCTGGTCTGAAAGCAGAGGCAGCAGAGACCAGCAGGGACGAGAAGACGACGTGCGGAGAGCGCTCTCTGTTTCATGAACACACTTCCAATAATAGCTGTTGTTTTCCTCACTTTTGAAGGTCACCCTGGTTATTTCACGATGACTTTGAATGAAGTCCTCTTTTTAGGGGCTGCATTACTTAGTCCACTCTACCTCAAGTACCCCCAGGGTCCTGATGCAGACGTCACCCCTATGCCAGAGAAGGAAACTTGGGGAAATTAATTAAATCCTTACCTCCAGAGGACAGGATTCCCCACTGATGCTGACTGGCTTGAAAATGACTCCAAACCTCGAACATAGCTCTAAGTACCACCATGAAAGGCACATTAAAAAGTCAGAGGTACACTATCAGTTTTAAAAAGGCACATGTGTTTTCTCTTCACCGCTCCAAGACATGATTTCTGTACACTATAAAACACAGGCAGTCCATTCTGGAAGGCAGCTGATGCAAGGGACCAGGAGGTGAGCCCAAGATGGCTCAAGTCTCCCTCTGGAGACGACCTGGACACTAAAAGCACTGCTCAAGGACATCAGGATTCTTGGATAGCCGGTGATGGACAGCCTTGTCATCCACACTTAGAACCTCCTAGAGGCCTAGCTTAAAATGTCACTGTGTCTGTGATATACACACCAAGGGGAGACAAAGAACTGCCAGACGTCATCTCACAGGGACACCACCAGGGCCACGGCTGACAGCCTGCGTTAAAGGCTTGGGCCACACAGCACAAAGCAAACTACAGTGACCGCTGGCTCTTATTTCTCAAACTAATTTTAAAAAAAACAAAAGCTTAGTGTGAAGGGAGGAGGAAAGGTAAGGACCCTGGCCAGATAGGGCTCCAGCTCGCATGGGTTCCTAAAGCAACAGCTTGACAACCCCCTGGGCAGACGGCAGCGGCAGCGCGGGTGAGGATGGATGTGAGGGTGGCTTCCCGAATTCCAGGCGTTTTCCCAACCTTCAGACAGAGCAAACCAAGTTTAGCTGACAGGACAGCAGGGACAAACCGGCTAGCACCGGGGCCCACAGGGTTCTAAGAGTGAGGAGCGGGGTCTCACAGGGCCTCAGTTTTCTCTCCTGTGAAATGGAAGAAAAGGACACTGGCTATCGGGCTCTCAGATTCCCAAGTTTGCACAAAATGCCCCATCTCAGAAGAACGTCTAAAAATATCCACTTGCTACTCATAAAAAAAAAAAAAAAATATGTATTTTATGAGAGGGGAACAGTGCTAGGAATCAAACCAAGGGCCTTGGGTCTATTGAGCTACACCCCTAGGCCTGGATTTAAAATTTCAAAAATAAAAATTGAATTTTTAAAAATCTGTATCTAGGGGCTGGGGATTTAGCTCAGCAGCACAGTGCCTGCCTGGCAAGTGCAAGGTCATGAGTTCAACTCCCGGTACCAGAAAAAAAACAAAACAAAACAAAAATCTGTATCTGTACAGTTCTGGAAGTTAAGTACATGTCACAGAAAAACGATTCATAGTTTCCTACCAAACATCTGCCACAGGGCCACCAGATTTGGGTGGTCTGGTCTCCAGGGAGAAAGGAGTTCCTCCCATAGAACTCTTGAATGTGGATGGGGTCCTGGTTTTCTTTCAACAAGAAAATAAACCCATTAGAGGTCGGATTTGCATTTTCCAAGTAGGTGACTGGTTTCAGGAATGTAGTCTGGCTAAAATTTAATCAGTCTTTTTATTTTTTAATTTATTTTATTTTTAGTCAGTCTTTTTAGTTTCTGGAAGGGTCTACATGTTTAAAACTAAAATTCAACCTTCTAGAGGAAGCTGGAAAGTGTTTAAAGATCAATGCCTAGACAAGCGGCTCGGAACATTCTCACAGCATGACCTTGAGTCAGGGCTATAGAATCAAATGATAAACATGGCACTCTCCTTGGCCATTTGCCCAGACCAAATGCTGTCACCCAATTCTGCTTCACTGGACAGGTGTACAGGATAAGATAACTGAAGTAACCCTACAATTCAAAACCAAATGGTAGTAGATGGGGGCTCAGTGTTGACCCAGAGTAGCCAGGTGCTCCCCCTACCACAAGAACATGAACAGGTACTGACCCTTTGTCACCCAGAGGTACGCCGCTGCTGCTCGTCCTTCTGTCGCCGCCACCATCTCTGTTCTTGCTGCCCCGCCCTGAGGCCAGTCCACTTGTCCGATTTGGGGACTGATCATACACAAAGTTTCGGCAGGATGCAAGTTTGGACTCCAGTGCCTGGAGAGAAAGGTGCTTTTGTCTCTCAGTTAAGTACAGGGTATCCTCTCTCACCAGACCCTATATAGTGAAGACAACTTAAAACAGTGATTTTCAAACTGTGCTGTGTTAGAATTCTAGGGCAGGGCCCAGAGGAATCCATTATGTCTGCAATTCTCATAACCACCTGCCTGAAACATTTGGGAGTGTCCTGCAAGATCACTAACTCTACCTGTTGTCCAACTCTGCCTACAGGAAGTATGAAATCAACTCTCAGAATCATTCACGATTTTGTTTACTGTGTTAAACCTGTACAGAGTGGCAGGAAACTTAAACAAGGACTTGAACTTGGGGCAAACAGACCCCAAGGAAACCCCCAGGATTCTCACACATACTTGTTCATGCCACAGACAACTGGAAAGCCAAGAGCCAAAATGTAAGGAATGGGTTGCAAGTGTCTATTAAGTTCAGTTATGAAGGTAAGTTTGTTTGCTCCACGACAAACTGACAAGATTGAAATAATATAGCTCTCAGGCCTCCTTCTTAAAAATAAAAGAAACAACTACAAAGAATAGACACATTATTGCTTAAGCACACAAGAATCTCTTCCTGTAATTAACATAAAACATGAAGGTCAGTTCCTTCTTTCTAGTCTTTCAAAATGTTCTATTAAACTCCTGAGAGAGCCAGCCGTGGTGGTGCACACCTGTAATCCCAGCTCTCAGGAGGCTGAGGCAGGAGGATCACTGCAAGTTCAAGACCAGCCCGGGCTACTAGGTGAGCTCAAGGCCAGCCTGAACTGCATAGCGAGACCCTGTCTCAAAAAGATAAAAAAAACCCTATAAACAAATACAAAAAAGAGCCCCTGAGAGAACAAAAAAAGAACAAGATATTTTTAAATGATCCTTAAATTTCTTCAAATTAAGAAAAAAAGCCATAGGTTGTCTCTATTATCCGAAACTGCTTGAAAGAATGGAAGAAAAGTGGTTCAAGAAAAAAATAAAAAGAGAGACCCAGAGATGAGAGGGAAGACCAGTTTGAGTTCTGGACCTTGCCCAGGGAAACTCCACGGGGAGGCTGGAAGGACAGGACGCCCAGGGATCCTGCAGGACCAGCCACATCTAAAACTCATGATCCCTTCCAGGCATTCTGAGAGACAGGCAAGAAGACACACCACACCCCAGGAAAGCGCAGTCTTACCCCAACTTTACGCAGCAGGTCCCCCACAATGTTGAGGGCTGAAATCCGGGCCGCAGGTGTGAGAGGGGTCCCACTGTTGGAGCTGTCCAGGCCTGGTTGTGTAAGGAGAAGCACACATTCAGCCTGCAGTCTGTATACCAACATCTCTAGATTTGAAACCATGAGGGAGAGAAGGGAAACTGCAGTCTTCCCTTTGCTTCTGGATGCTGCCCCATTTCGTTAGGAGTTAACTGTGTGACGTGGCAAGACTCTACTCGATGAACAGCTTTTTGAGTCCTTACAAAATTATATTAAACTTTAGTTTCGCACATTAATCTTCTCAAAGCTAAAGCCAGGAGAGATTGAGCTGTCATCCCAGCACTCTGGGATCTGAGGCAGGAGGACTGCAAGATTGAGCTCAGCCTGGGCAACTGAGCAAGATTCTATCTCAAAATACAAAATAAAAAAAGGGCTGGGGATGTAGCTCAGTGTGAAGGCTCTGGGTTCAATCCCTAGTAATACAAAATAAACAAAAACAACAACAACAAAAAGCCAAAACAGGTCCTCTCCAGTTTCTAGAAATTCCATTCAGTTAACATCACCAGCGTCTGGGATAAATGCAGTTTGCACGCAGCCAGTCACTCTAAAAAGGGCCTGCGCTGTGAAGCCCACTCTTCAAGGTAGAGTCTACGCAGCAACGGGTGTATAACTACAGGCCCCACCCACACTGGCTACACCTAACGTGCAAATTAACAAAATTCTAACTCATCATCATGCAAGTTGTGTGACTCATAAGTGTGGGAGATATTTTAGACTGAGATGTAGCAATCTCACCATTTCTTCATCACCAGGAGACAAGGTAGGGGCGTAGGCAGCATATAGTAGATGAAGTCACAGCCAGCTTGCTGGGGTTTGAATCCCAACTCTGCCATTTCCTTGCTGTGTGACTTCAGCAAGTTTCTTAAGTCAGAGCCTCAGCATCCACATCCATCAAATGGGGCCAGCACTTGCACGATGGGCCTGTGGTGTGGACTCACGAGGTCACTATGCCGAATGCTTTAGGCAGCTGGTCAGCACACACTAGCACTCAATACTTGCTTGCTGTTAGTGTCTGCTATCAGCTGCCTGATAAGAGGCCTCACAGTTAAGCAATCAGCAGAGGGGTTGGAAGGAGAACTCAAATGTTTTGGTTTTTACAATACAGCAGAGGTTAGACTGGCTCTATTTCTGGACCCATAATGTTTTTGACATTTTTTTATTTGGTTATGGATACTTTATGTTTGGGAGATTTCATGTTCAAAAAGAGGATTTCTGGCTTCTGGTAGAAAACTTGGCCTTGCTAGGCCCACCTTCCTTGTGTTAAAAGCAGAGTGACAGCTGCCCCTTAGATGGGGTTTCTAGTCTTTGGGCAGTAGACTCCACTACTCCTTCCTGCTCCACATAGGATCACAATGCCCTGACTGCTCCCTGCTATACAGCCCAGCCCAAGGCACCACATCCAGGACCCAACCAGGTTCTCACCCAGGACAGCTCTGTGAAACACAGAAAATCCTCCCCGTCCCCCACCCCCTTACCACGCCTGAATGTCCCCGGGGTGTTTAAAGCAGAGCTGAGTCCTCGATGGGCAGCAGGCGTGGACGGCACAGAGCCCGTGGCCTGCACAGCCGTGTCTGTCCTTCCGGCCTCCACCGTGCTGGGCAGGGGTGTCCTGGGCTTCTCCTGCTTCTGTTGCACAGCCAATTCCTGCCGCAAATCTGTCAGGAAAGGGACTCAGAAATGTAAGTCCTTGCTTTCAGGCTAGGGTGGAGGTCAGACAGGTGCTAGCAGCAGGGGAGCGGGGAAAGAGCCAGTGGGTGAGGAAGTCCAGGTGGAACCTGGAATGAACCAAAGCCCGCCTGACCCCGCTTAGCCGGTTTGCAAAGATGCATCATTTTTCTTGAGTAAAAAGGGTTTAAAAACCATGGTAGCAACATACTACTGCTTTGTTTTTTAAAAAACTTTAACAATGCAGTATACATAGAATCCCACATTAAAGTGTGCTTTTTCAGCTATTTCCAAATGCCTTCCTCAATTATAAATGATCTCCTATAACACATGGCAAATTTTAATCCTTTATCACTGCATGTTCATAGGGTCTAACTGTGTTTGAATATCTATTGAATATAAAGTATAAACAATTTTTATTAATAATAAAAGTAAACATCGCTGCCTCCTATCCATGATTTTCTCTCCTTTGATGGTGTGGGTGGGTGATTATTCCCAGGACTACATTTATGTCTTTACCTTGTTCCTTTTAACAACTGTTTAACATATCACAAAATAAATCTATGTGTTTGGTTTTTTTTTGTACCGGGAACCGAACTCAGGACCTCACACTTGCCAGCCAGGCACTGCGCCACTGAGCTATATCCACGGCCCTCTATGTGGGTTTTTAAACCACCTTTTACTGATGGGCACTTAGGAACGACTACAGGTTGAATATCTCTCATCTAAACTGCTTGACATTAGAAATGCTTCAGATTTGGGAGTTTTTCAGACCTTGGGATTTGTATACTTAAATGGTTGAGCACTGCTAATCTGAAACCAAATCTAAAACTTTCTGAGCACTCAACTAGTAGTTTTTAAACTTACTGTTTTTGTTGTTTTTTTTTTAGTGTTCCATCTTCAGGTCACACATTAGATATCAAATGTTATAAACAATCAGTTAAGACTTCAAAAATATCTTTTAGCACCCACTGTGGATGCCACATTACCATCTTGGTACAGGAAAGCTGTCTCTAGGATGGCCAACCTCCACTGAGCAAATGCTGAAGAGGTTTCCAGAAAGTCTCTTTCCCAAATGAATCCCACTGCCCAGAGCCAAAACCCCAAACAAAGGCTTTATCTGTGACCTTCAAAGCTATTTCTGTATATATCTATGGGGGGTCTTTACAGGGTTTGAGGGCTGAGAATTCTGAGCACTGGGCAGATACAACCCATTTGCAGGGAGCGGTGCATATTTCCAGCAAAGGCAGTGATGAGCAAGGCCGCAGTTCAGGATGCTATCAGAGGTGAACAAGAAATCACACTAGTAAAGACACAGAACAAGGCCAAGACCTCTGACCTCTGGCTTCATCCTTTAGTCGCTGAACAGATTCTAGGAGGTTCTCCTTCTCGTCAAGTTCGCTTTCTAAGAAGGCATTTCTTTCAATGGCTTGATTCAAGCGCTGCTCAAAGTCTTCCAGAGACATGATGGTGGCTCTGGGTGAGAGAACAGCAAGGTTATCCAAAATGGGAAATGGCAGCATTTATCTGCTGCCTACAGACCTGGAAGACATGAGGGTCAGATATACCTGGGCACAAGTCCCAGCACTGGTCTTCCTAGATGCCACAGGCAGGGACAAGTCCCTTAATCTTCAGAGGCTCAGGCTCATTAGCTGTAGAATGGGAATGTGAGAATTCAGGTTGTGCTGGGGGTTCAGAAGGCAATATCCACACAGCACTCAACAGCGAGCCACGGTCTGATCAGTACTACAAAATATGTCCAGACCCTGAGAGCAGCATGCTCCATTTTCTCTTGGAAGCTCATGGTGCAAACTAGTATTCAGAGCAGTCTAATAAAGTGCATATGCAGTTTAGTAACATGCAGTCTAAAAGGTAGAAGAGATCAACTTTCACCTCTCAGTTAAAGTTTAACAAGTTCCAAATATCTAGTCCCAGTCCAGTTGCCCTGCCAACAACCAATGCTTATGAACAGACATCCCATTAGAACACAGCATTGTACAGGCAGAAACGTGCTGTAATGGAGAAATCTGTTTAGCTGTGGGCTAGCTACTTTCTCTGTGCCTCAATTTACTCATATGTAAATCACGGGTAGTAAAATTCCTCCATACTAGGGTTAGGCTGGGAAAATGAACACAAAAGCACATAACAGGTATTTCACACCTAAGCGCCCACTAAGCACCAGCAATTTTTATTATTGACCCTGTGTTTGCCCCCAGAAGGCCCATAACATCCTGCATTATAACTCTATTTTATGTTGGCTGGAAGCATACGTTTGGACTAGAACCTAGGAGTTAACACCGAGTTTCTATATGCAGACTAAGTGAGAGTCCTCATTCCTTTAGTTCCAAGGTAAGGTTTGATTCATTCATTTATTCAACATATCCTGCTACATGTAGACCGAATAAGGTTCTTACCTACCCTCAAAGCATCTATAGAACAAACACATGGTATAAAGTTACCAACAGTGCCAGATTAAAAACAACAAAGGGATAATATTTAGGAGTCTAATATTAGAATCATTTAAAATGATTAAATGAGGTTAATGAGGTTGGGAGGCCAAACAATAAAAAAAAGATAAAATATGTAGGAATTCATGTAACAATAAATATGCAAGGGACACAAGATGTTTATGGAAATGCAGACATGCTGTGTTTACGAAGCAGAAGACTCACCATTATGAAGAAATCAGTTCTAAGTTAATATACTCTGAAAAAGTACTAATTGATATTTACTGGGGGAAGGGAGAAAGGGGGACTGATTGGAACATCATGTCATAATGAAATAAGAATGGCCCCGAGCACTTGGGAAAAGACCTCAGGAAACTAGTTCGAGCAGGTACAAGGCACACAAGATTAGTCTAGAGACTCAGCAATCATCAAAGGTGTGGTACCAGTTAGAACAGGTTTAGATCCAGGAACCAAAGGACCAGCAGTAGGTGCAAAGACATGCATGAATGAACTTATGGTTCCATAAGTTGAAACGTGGCAGGCTCAAATGTAGGTCTGGGGACCACTGGGCAGTTACAAAGATTCCAACCTCAAAGGGATCAGAAATTTAAACAAAACTGAGATTTGTTCCGAGTCTACCATTTGCCTTCTGAAATACCGGAGAACTGAAGAACAATGTCAGCAGCACTTCTGCCATTTCTGACCCAGTGTGGATCACTGTCTTGTGACTGTATATGACCAGTTCAATAGCATCATTATATGGGCAAGGCATGCCACTGGGACATATGCCACTAAACTGAATATTTGCTGTCAAATAAAAGTCAGCATCCTTGGGTAACCTGAGTGAAAAAATTTTATATGTTGTATGCATTTATATGCTATAATTTATACATAATCATTCTTTATATGTTGCAATTTTATGTCAACTGATGTATAAAGGCATATTTATTATAAGAAAAGTAAAATTCTGAAACAATGACTATAGAAAGCTGTTAATCTCAGATAGTTATTGAGAACTTAAAATAGTTCAATAAGAAACAATTTAGTAAATCTGAGTTATTAAGAGATACATTTGTGTGCCGGGCATGGTGGCACATGCCTGTAATCCCAGCACTTGGGAGGCTGAGGCAGGAGGATTGTTGTGAGTTCGAAGCCAGCCTAGGCTACAAAGTGAGCTCAACGCTAGCCTGAACTGTATAGCAAGACCCTGTCTCAAAAGCCAAAAAAAAAAAAAAGACAAAAGAGATACATTTGTTAGATTAAAAACACATGGAAATAGAATTAGGTTAAATCAATGTAATCTCTGTAGAACTTTACATTATTTTAGCCCTGTATGAAACAATATAACCTTTAAAGGACATACTTAATTTTAAGTTACTTCCAAAACAGCCTTGAGTCGCTCCAAGCTGCCCTTACACAAGGCTCATGCCCATTACCAAAAGTGAGTAGAGTTGTCTTAGAGGTGTACCATGTAAGGACGATAAAAGCAACCAAACACTTGATGCTGCTGAGAAATTGCTGTTCTTGCAGCACTCTCTAATTAATCAGACAGAACTACTAAAGTTTTATAATAAAATCTTAATATTTTATTAAAGTATTTTTAAAACTAAAATTTTGGTATTTTGGAAGTTTATTCATCCTATGACAGTGATCTAGGCCTCTACCTCACTTGATTTTAACACTCAACTATCCAACATTTGACCAAAATGTAAATCCAATGCATCTTGAGAGACACAGAGAAGGAAGAAAACATAAAAATACTAGAAGAAAATATAGGCTAAGTATTTTATAAACACTGGAGTGCGGAAGGTCATTCTATGAGTGATAAACTTGATTACATAGAAATCAAACAAATTGCACCCATTAAAGCATACAACAAAGCCATAGAAACATAATAAATTCGAAGGACTCAATTCATATCACAGACAAATATATGAAAATCTCTCAGAAGTGACCCGGAGAGGGAACCAATCTACCACCCAATTTGAAAATAGCACTTGCCTAGCACATGCAAAGCTCTGATTCTGATTCCTGGCAATACAAAAACCAACAACAAAAACCAGGCAAAATCATTTTTATTGCTTTTGCTTTGTTTTGTTTTTGTCTATGTTGTTGGTATTTAGCTATCACTCTTTTTTTTTTTTTTTTTTTAAAAAAACAGGCAAAGAAAAAAGTTCATAGAAAAGGAAGCAAAATACCTCTTATACCTATAAAAAGGAACTCAAGGTCACTCAGAATTCACAAATGCACCCATCTCTCATCTATCTGATTGGCAGAAATCCTACGTTTGAAAACCACTCTGTTGGTGATGCCATCTGGAAAACAGGAACTCACACCCATAGCCATTGGGACTGCAGAGTGTGCAACCGTATAAAGAGCAGGGCACACACAGCATCAAAACTCCGCCCCTTTGTGTATTATTTTTGAACCGTGTGAATGTACTGCCTTCTGTGGGAGACTGCATTGCTGGAGACTGCATTATTCATCCCTCCCTGTATCCACACCCTTGCTGTGGCCTCAGTGTGGGTGGAACACATTTTCCCACCCTTTGACTCAATGTCATCATATGACGTGCTATGCTCAGTGATATGGGTAGAAACGATGGTATGCAGTTGCTTGTCCGAAATCTGAAAGTGGTTTTACATACTACAAGTACGTATATACACATATACATATAAATATACATACATACTCATATAAAGCCATACTACTCAGGTCAACATGATAATTGGTAAAGAAATTCAGAAATTATATGCTGGACCACATAAGGAAGCCAGAATTAAATCCCAGGATCTATGAGAGAATAACATATGACATAGCTGACTTTAATTCAGTGGAAAAAAGTGCTTCAACAATTAGCTATCCACTTAAAATAAAACTGAGCTACTTGGAAGGCTGAGACAGGATGGTCTTAAATTCAAGTTTAGACTGGGCAACTTAGCAAGATCTTACCTCAAAATTAAAAAATAAAAAAGGCTGGGGTTGTAGGGAGAAATCTTTATCTTACCCTACATACAAAAAACAAAAAAATTCTACTTGAATTAAGGCAGTAAGAAAATGAAACAATAAAAACCTTGAAAATGAGGGAAAGGGTAGAGAGAGAACACATATAATCGAAGGATCAAGGCTACTCCCCCAGTGAAGTCACAAAGTTATAAAAGGAGGCATAATTAATAACCTAAAAACAGAAAATATTTGTATGGAAATTGTTATACAAAGTCAACAGACAAAAGATTACTTTGGAGGAAAATATTTTCAATGCTGGACGAAAGATTAGTACCAAATATGTACAAAGAACTCTTACAAATTGACAAGAAAAGAGGTTTCACTACTGAATTCTAATAATTAACCAATTCAATTGCAGTGATTGAAACATATAATTTTGAAGATGATAATCAAACAGCAGTTCTTAACAATTAAAAATGATCTCCCACATCAAAATGATATTAATCTAGGCAGTTCACCTTAAAAACAATGTGAAAAGAAACCAATGACTGTAGAAAAACCAAAGCAAGATGCTGATATACCCAAGAAACCTGTACTTGGATCTTATCATGGCCAAATTGTTCAGTCAAAGAGGAACATATTCAGAAAACCTCTACACATCAGATGAGAATTCAGCAACAACAAAGAAACTTTTAAGTGCTATCTTGAAAGCCACAAAGCCTGAGCCTATGAACACCAACATTCTAATAATACGAAATGATAGAGCCTCAAAAATGATGGCTTCCACTAAATTTGTGAGCACTACATCTCAGAACACACAACTTGTATGACTTCTTGTTAAAGTCACAACATCCTTCCAACAAGGCGTCAGCAGAACCTCTGCCAATGTTACAATCAAAAACAGTTCTATCTAGTGTCAAAACCAGTTCTCAGGATATTAAAAAAAAAAAAAAAAAAAGGAAACCACTACTATAAACATGACATCTGAAACTATGGCCAGGCCTATTCACTTTCTAGTACCAAACCGACAGAAAAGTCAAAAACCGCTGACCAGCAAAGACATACTATAGCAAGAGCAACTGTTCATAGATGAGCAGACCCCAAAGAAACCACAGGAGAAAAGCTCATCTGGATGCATTGAAAGCTGGCAAAGAAGAGTGCTGAAAAGGCCTCCTAGCTACAGCCACTACCCAGCCCGAGCCTGAAACACAAAATGAATACCCAGTTGAATTCTTTTGGACTTCTATGGCAGAAGAAAATGAACAAAGATTATTTACTGAAAAATTAAACAAGCACGCCTGTAATCCAGCACTTGGGAGGCTGAGGCAGGAGGACTGTTGTGAGTCTGAGACCAGCCTGGGCTACAAAGTGAGCTCAAGGCGAGCCTGAGCTGCTGGCTGTCTCAAAAAGACAAAAAAAAAAAAAAAAAAAAAAAAAAGCAAAGAAAAGAAAAGAAAAAGAAAAAGTAAGCAAGACATTTTCTGAATGACCCAGTTAAAAATATTCCAGATGCCAAAACACTTGTTAAATATTTCCTATGTTTTGGACATATTGAGCCAATCACAAGTCCAGTTGAAAATATCTCAATCTCACAGCGATATATGTGCACCTGTGTTCATAGCAGCACAATTTGTAATTGCTAAATTGTGGAAGCAACCCAAATGTCCATCTGCTGAGGACTGGATAAGAAAATTGTGGTACTTTTATACAATGGAATATTACTCAGCTGTAAAGAAAGATTACTCAAGGCCTTTATAGGTAAATGGTCACAACTAGAGATGATACTCATAAGTGAAATAAATCAGACCTGCGTGTGCAAGCACCACTAGTGTAAAACCTGGAAGAAATAATTTAAATTCAGAGGTATGACAGACATTGTGAAATGATAGGAAAACACTCAAGGGTAACTGGCAACTGGGATGTGGGAAAAGAGAAGGGAAAGAAGGAGAAATTTTGTCTGTATGTATATACAGGATAGTTAATATAGTTGTTCTACTGTCTTCTATTTCTTTGCTGAAACTGTCAGTGAGTCCTTGATTGATCAATATTGCATGTCTCTATCTATTCTCATGAGAAACCACTTTGAAGATATCAATATGTAATACAACAAGCATTGTTAATTTCCTACCCCTTTGTTTGTAACTCTATATTGTCTGTACTGTTCTTTAGCTATTTTGTAAAAGATTGTCTGTCTGCACAATGTATTATAGAGATGAGACACACAATTGTAGGCATTTTTAAAATGAAGAGAAAAATTATGGAGAAAATATTGGAGATGTTTATAGAACCAAGGAATAACTCCAGGAAATCAACATCAAAGATACAGGTATTAATTTAGAGCCAGGAAAACTAGAAATGGTGAATAAACATAGAAATGGGGTACTTCAAGATTATAAAAAACGCCAGGCATGGTGACGCATGCCTATAATCCCAGCACTCAGTAGGCTGAGGCAGGAGGATTGTTGTGAGTTCGAGACCAGCCTGGGCTACAAAGTGAGTTCAAGGCCAGTCTGAACTGCATAGTGAGACCCTGTCTCAAAAAGACCAAAAAAAAAAAAAAAAAATATATATATATATATATATATATAAAACAGTAAGACAAAAAAATCCAACTGACGATATTAAAATCCCAGATAAAGAAAATAGACCCAGTTGCATAAGTAAGTGAATGTACTATGCCACATTTGCAAAGTATAAAAAAGGCTAAACAAATTCCACATTTAAAAAACTAAAGTTTCTAACACCAATGAGCTATTTTCATCAGTGTCTTTCAGAGAAGACTTCTAAATTGCCAGACACGGCAAAAAACCATTATTCTGTGTATCAGGGCTGGGAGGTAAAACTGATACTTTTGTACGTGGCCTAAAATTAACACTGTGAGACTGAGACAAGAGAAGAAAAATAAAGTTCCAAAGAGGAACAAGGGTTGTCATTACCCCCTGGGTAACCACAGGGGCTTTTGTTTGTGTGGCTTCATATTTCCCTTGGACAGAAGTTGGCCAAGTACCTTCATAGAAGTGAGAGCCTGTACTAACATTCACGCTACAGGTGGAGGTGCCCAGTTATGTACAGAAAGCTAGTTAATCTCAACAGACCGAGTTAATCTCAAACTTAGTTAATTTCAACAGACCAAGTTTTTCTTTAAGTAAATTTTTAGTTTATTTATGGTGTTCCTTAATATAAATAGGTTTGTTTTCATGTGACCTTGTTATTAAAAGTAAGTTCAGTAACGATGCATGATCAGAAAATAAAGTTTACCAGATAAAATTTGTATTTCTATTATACGGGTATGTTTCAAAACATTATGATGCACAGCTCTGCTTTAAACAAAACACTGACAATGTTTTGTGGCCTTACGAAAGTCAAATTTTAGGGCTGAAAGCCATTCACAGGGGAGCACACCTGAGGCAGAAAGACTGTGAGTTCCAAGACCAGCCTGAACTACATAGGGAGACCATGCATTCAAGAAAAGCCAAGTTGGGCCAGGAAATAAAGCTCAATGCCTGGGCTCCTGGGCTCAATCCCTAGCACTAAACCAAATAAGCAAAAGTTGTAATGTATAAAGCTACTCGCTTAAATATTAAGACATACAAGGCTTAGCTTGCTTTTCCACCAAACTCATGTTTTCCAGACTGTTGTGCTCTGCTGTGTCCCCGAACTGCCACCGTCCCTCACTGTCTATGAGAATCTGCATCTTCACCTCTAACTCTTGTTTGGAACTGAGTTTGCCAAGGATGGTCACCTGGACGCCCCATTTCTAACAGAAGGATTTCTTGAACTACATGGAAAAAAGGAAAATTTAGTGTATATTCAAAACTTTAAATCTGGGTTTGTTTCTTTTGTTGTTTGTTCTGTTTCATACTTTGACTATGTCACTGTTAAAATTTTAACTTCCATAGCCCCACTGATAGTTTATAAACTACATTAGAATAGAATTTGGGAAGGAATACATATTTAATGTCATTCTACTTTAGGCAACATTTCTAAAATAACCAATATTTATACTTGTTTTCTTCTCTATAGTATAAAAACCTTGCTGTTAAATCACGTCCACCAAGACATGACAGTTATAAACAGTAAACAATTTTCTTGTCTTCATACATAAATACCACCAATAAATTTGTTTTACAAGGTATGAACTAATACTTAAATAACACACATCCTCTATCAACTCTACAGTTTAAAAAAACTATGTATGAAAGACGATGTAAAGAACACATACTTATGTTCATTCCATATTTGTGTTTTTAATTATTATCCTCTCATATTCTAAGAGTAGTAATTTTACTATCATTAACTTGTATACTAATATATATATATATACAATAAAAATATCTGTGTAATGATGTTCCAGTGGGGGGAAGTATGTGCAAAAATATAAAGGGGCTATTTTTCTAAGCAAAAATTCTAACAGTATGGTATGGGTGTCATAGTATTTGTTGATGTAATAAATTTTACAACTATAGCATAAAATACAAGGATTAGAAATTTTGAAAGTGTAAGACTGTAGAGATGTCACATTTTAAAGGAAGTCATACAATACTAAGTAGACTAAAAAAACCAGTGATGTGGCACAGCCTATAATCCTGGCATTCTGGGAGGCTGAGGCAGGAGTACTGTACATTCAGGCCCAGCCTGGGCAATCTAGGAACTTCACGAGACTCTGTCTCAAAACAACAAAAAATGGCTGGGGATGTAGCTCAATAGGAAGGCCCAGGGTTCAATCCCCAGTACCACAAAAAAGTATTTATGGGGTACAGAATATATAAATTCTTATAAAGCAAGAGTTTTCTTTCCTGCAAAAGCACTTAAAGTCACAATAATCATTATTGTTATTCTGCTACACTACCAAACAGTAGCGTAAGAAACACTGTGCTGTGAGCACATTCCTCTCCTTCTGACATCAAGGCCTTCGCACATGCTCTCTTCCTGCTGGACGCGCTCATACTCTTCCTTGGATAATGACTATTCATCCCTCTGGTCTAAATGGCATTTCCTCTAGGAAGCCTTCCCTGACAATCTCCCATCAGTGGCCAAATGAATATAACCTATCACAGGCCCCATAGCACACTGGACTTCAGCATTTCTTGCTATAATTAGGTTGGTCTTATTTACTTATTGCCTCTTCCCAGGAGATGAAGATCCAGAAAGGCACTGGCTTATATTTTGCTCACTGCTGAGTTCTCTATACTCAATACAGTGCCTAGTACCCAGGAGCTGGGGAAAGGGACAGAAGACTCCTAACCTGCTTCCTCCTTCCCAACATACCGTTTGGCTCTTTCTAAGTCATCGTTGGCTTGCTCCAGCTCCCTGATGTATTTCTGCAGTTGATCTTTAATTGCTTTCGTCTGTGCCAGGTCATCTTCCAAAGCTGAGATCTGCCGGTAGCCTTCAGAATGCTGCATTTCAAATTTTTCCTGAAGGACAAAAGCAATGAGTGTCATCTCCTTACAAATAAAGCTGTTCATCCATTCCTCCCCTTCCCTAAGCCCTACCAGCACCCTGACTCCTCTTGAGGGTTTCTCTTCCCCGGATTTAAGAGTCTTAATGGGACACCTACACTCATCATCCCTGCAGGCGCAGCTCCAGCCTCCCTTTCCCAGGGTCCTACCTGAGCTCAGTCAACAGAACATTCTCTCTCGAAGAAGCCTGGAATGTCAAGTGAGTGACTGAAGCTGATAAGAACACATAGCTACCACTCAAAAGCAGGCATACCATGAGCAACTACTGTACTCCAACATCATCCTGAGGGCTTCCTGCCTCCTAGTCCCTGAGCACCTGGTATCCTGCCCACTCCCAAACCTGGTTCCTACAGCCTGCACCCAAAACCCAACAAACTTCAAATTAATCATTTAAAGTGTCCACAGCCAAAACAAGCCTCATGACCAGGACAATGTGGATCTGCTCCACCCACTATGTTACAAAGAGATTAGGAATGACTTTGGTTGCTTGTGTTTCCCAATAAGAGGAGGGCATCAGGTACTGAGTGTGACAAGGACGTTCTCCTGTAACATGGGAAAAGTTACAAGAAACTTCTGGACAAGGGAGAAGGAGAAGGAAAAGGAAGAGAAAAGAATTATTATTGATTATGGGAGAAAGCTTAGTGCAGTTGGCTAGGGAATTAGTGCAGAAGCAGGGAAGAGCCCAATGACCACTCAGTGAGGAGTTGTGGCTCATTTGGAGCAGGTAACATATTACACACTTAGTGCTGTGCCAGGTTTCGGCCTAGTACACTCCTACATATGTTGTCTCATTCATCCCACTTCAGAGATGTGGGCACTAAGGCTCAGTTACTTAGCTAGCCCAGAGTTGACTGGTAGCAAATGACTAGAGCACGATCAGACCAAAGCCATCTGAGCTGGTGCTCTTGAAACAGAGATGGATGCTCAATGGCCCTAAACTACTTCAATCCAGATCACCAAAGAATTGGTATTTTTTCTTCCCCCCTTTTCTGACTCTGTGTGTTACTTGGGATTGAACCCAGGACCTTCCAGCTGAGTTATATCCCCAGCCAATAATCAGTTTTTAAGACAGAACCTCATTTAATTGCTCAGGCTGGGTTTGAACTTGCAGTCACCTGCCTCAACCTCCTAGAGTGCTAGGATCACAGGCACAGGCCTCCTCCACATCCAGCTTTCAGATTCCTTTCCTTCATCAAACAACCTTCCACAAATACAACATAAAACAAAACACATCCCACAAGAAAGGCTCGGGGATGGGGATTTAGCTCAGCGGCACAGCGCCTGCCTGGCAAGTACAAGGTCGTGAGTTTGATTCCTGGTACGGGAAGAAAAACGAAACAAACAAACAACACAAGAAAGGCTCAAGATCTAATTCAAAAGGTAAAAACAAAGGCACGCTCCTTTTCTTGACTAGATCGGGTCATCAAATCTGTTGCTACAAACAATCCGCAGGCACTGGGAAGTGAGGGAATAGTGCCGAGTCAGAGGGGCGTGGCGAGAGGCCCTGGGAAAGAAGAATGGCTAAAGAACAGCAGATATTCCCAGGGTGATGACAGGGAGGGCATTCCATGTCCTCTAGCAGCTGGGCCCCTTTGATGTTCCCATTTCCTGGCTGTGAGCAGAGTGTGGGTCTGAACTCAGGAAGAGACAGCCTTGCCCTGCACACAGGTCAATCCCCAGGTGTGGGTCTGACCACCTTGCACCCTTTACTTCATGGCATCTCCAAACAAAACATAATCCCAGGTCATTAACCTCGACTCTAGGGTGGGTTCCAAGAGGATGTGGGGAACAGACTCCTCCACCCACATATACATTCAGACAGTCTCCCCTTTGAACTCGTGACATGAAAAGCTGTTGCTGGAATGTTGGGCTTTCATCTGGGGCTGATTATAAAAAGCTGCCAGCTGATGAAGCATCAATGGATGCTCTGTTTGATCCATGACAGGCTTCTGTATTCAACTTGCAATGAATGAGCCAGTTGTCAACAACTCGTCTCAGCTGAACATATCTCTCTTAGGTGACCGACAAATATGTACTAGTGGCAGTGTACTCTTTCTCCAAGGTGTTCGCATTTCTTCCCCTGCTCTGTGCTCCAAGTCTGCCATAGGCTATAATGAAAACATCTTCTGAAGGTTCAAGGGCTCAGTCCTTTGCTTTCTGCAGTACTAGGAACTGAACCCATGGTCTTACACATGCTATGCAAGCACATCGGTGCAAAGCTCCATCCCTAGTCCTTTTTTATTTTAGAGTCTAAGTTGCCCAAGCTGGCCCTGAACCTGTGATCCTCCTGCCTCAGTCTCCTAAGTCACTGGGATTACATGTGTGTGCCACCTAACCCAGTAAGGCTCAGTTTTGAAGCAGTTAATTACTCAGCAATTGAGGTGACATTTACTCAGTATCTGTGGAGGCCTCTTACCTTCTCCAAGCCATCGTTCATACCACAAATCTCTCTACTGATGCCTGAGTTCCCTTCAATTTAAGAACAAGGACAATTCTTCATTGCCTATGGCAGGATCAAGTATGAATTCTTGCAGGGGTCAGCTGCTAACAATGAGGCAAGTGGGCCACAAGCAGGATAAGCAGAAAGCAGCACCTGGACTTCAGCATCTGGGCTAAGGGGACCAAGGCAGACTGGACTCAATTTTCTGCTGGAATGACCAGGTCCCATTCTCAAAGGAGGTCAGAAATTCAGATTTGGGGGCTGGGGATTTAGCTCTGTGGCATAAGCTCCTGCCTGGCAAGTGCAAGGTCCTGAGTTTGATTCCCAGTGCAAAAAAAAAAAGAAATCCAGATTTTTCTAAAAAATTTTATAAATCTTAGATGTTTACATTAAATATGAAAAAAAAAACCTGGAAGATACTAATTTTACTACTGAAAAGAGAACCTATAAACAAATGCTGGACACTAATTAATGATAAGCAGGTTGAAGTACTTGGGGGAAGTATATCGCTTCTTGCAATTTACTTTTTTTTTTTTTTTTTTTTTGGTATTAGGACTCAAACTCAAAATCTTGCGCTTGCCAAGTAGGTGCTGTGCCGCAGAGTTAGCTCCCCCTACTGCAATTTACTTTGAAATGCACCAAGAAAAGCAGGGGTGGATGGGCAGGAATATTATAAATAAAAGGCAAGTATGGGCAATGTCATGGTAGAACCTAGGGGTGTGTACACAGGTATTCACTGGAAAGTTCTTTCAAACACGCATGTGCTTAGAAACTTTCATGTTACACTTGGAATAAGATCCACTAAAAGATAAGCAAACATCTACAGACTGACCTGTAAGTGGTCAGGTTGGGCTGTCTGGGCTACAATACAAAATACGGACCTCATTGCTCAGGTTCCAAGGTCTTGGAGATCTTTCTTTTCCCTCTGTTGGAATCACCAATGCACTTGCTCATCTCATTTTTTCCCACATGTAAGTAAGGTCAGACTTCCAAGGTGATGCTCATTCTTATCTCCATGTCTGTTATGGTTTACACCTAGATTATCCTTCAAAAGTCTCACATGTCCAGAGGTGGGGCTTTTGGCAGGTGATTGCATTATGGGGGTGCTACACTCATCTGTAGAGTAATGCGCTGTTAGGAGGTGGGCCCTGGTCAGAAGAGCTAGGTCACCAGGGCACATGACCTGGAAGTATGTATCTTCCTCCTTGGTTGCTCCTTTTGCTCTCTGCTTCCTTCTCAAGGCATGAACAGCTACCCTTTGCACAGGCCCTTTCAATATGTTGTTCTAATATGCTTCAATATGCTGTTTCTGCCAGGCATGGACTGAAGTTTCTGAAACTGTCAGCCAAAATAAACCTCTCCTCCTTTAAGTTGTGAGTGTTGGTTTCAGTTTTGCCAAAAAGTGCCTGCTAAGTTGCAACAAAGAACAGCCCTGCTGAAAAGATTAGCATTAAAAAGAAGCCAAGCACTTTCCACCTGAACAATAGGAAAGATGGCTTGAGGGCATCTCAGGAACAAGACAGACCCTACTCTACAGACCCTACTCTTTAAAGGCTCAAAAATGCAAAGGTGAAAAACTTCGCTTTGAGAAGAAAACCTCAGGGCATCCTGCCCAACTAGGGATTTGGTTCCTGGAGATTAGGTTCCAGGCACTCAGAGACCTCTGTAGCCACGACCAAGGAGGTCAAGACACTGCTTAAGCTTGTCTATAGGTTTGGCTGCCACAACCTCAGAGGAGGGTATGCGACTGGAAACCAGTAGATAGAGACCAGGGAGGCTACTGAACATCTTACAATGCAAAACTCAGCCCTTATACCAGAGAACTACATAGCTTCAAATCTAATGAAGCCTTACCCTTATCTATGGGGGACACATTTCAAGACATACTGTTATGCCCAAAACTTGAGATAGTTCCTAACCCTATACATACTATTGTTTTTTCTCATGCTTACATACCTATGATAACATTTAATTTATAAACTTTAAGAAATGAGCATTAATAAAATAGAATAACTAAAACAAATTATACAATAAGTGTTATTAAAGGCTTATGAATTATTTACCCCTGGAATTTTCCATTTAATAGTTTCAGATTTCAGTTGACCACAGGTAACAAAAACCATGGAAAGTGAAACCACAAACACTAGCAGACTACTATAGGCGTAAGAAGAGATGTAGCATTTTGTCATGACAAAACTGCTCTATAGACATTCTGTCTATTAATGATACACATGAGCCACATATGTATGCTACTGGACCTAGAAACATGGCTAGCACGAATTGAGTTTTTTTATTAACTTATAGTTCAATGCCATGTGCAGCTAGGGGCCACCACACTCAACAGTACAGTGCTGGACCTTGTAATATAACGTTAGCAATTATACTGTGATACTCCAACCTCTAAAAAGGTCTCCCTGCCATGTGCCCTATGAAATCAGTAAAGATCACCAAGAAAGGCCACAGAGACACATGTATGACTTGCCTATCACAGAGTTCCACACATCAGGGGCATACAGGGCAAGAGCCATGTCCACCCACAAGGCCTGCAGGTTAGAAAAACCTCAATCCCTCACCCCACAGAGCTCCTTCTTGCTGCACGCCCATCCACTCCCCTCAGCTCCTCACCTTGACAGTTTCCAGCTCCATGCGAAGGCGGTTATTCTCTGACAAGAGGTCTCTGTTTCTGGTTTCAATTTGTTGCAGCTGTGTCTCTAATTCAGCTTCATATTCTCGGCTTCCCTCCTGGAATTCTCGGAGTTCCTCCTGTGTATTCTCTGCCCTGCAGCAGAATTCCAAGAGGTCAGTAATAATTTAGCAGCCACTTACTGTGTGCTGGGCATTGTGCCATTTTGTGCCTTATGTGGATCATCTCTTTATTCAACTATCATTATTCCCATTTATAGACAAGAAGATGCAATTTAGACAAGATGAATGACTTGTCAAATTGGGAATAGTGTTACATGCCTATAATCCTAGCTACACAGGAGGTTGAGGCAGAAGGGTCACAAACTGGAGGTCAGCCTGGGCAACTTAGTGAATCTGACTCAAAATTTTAAAAGGGTTGAGGGATATAGATCAGTTCTGGAGCATTCACTTATCATGTGTGAGACACTGGTTCATGCCCCAGGACCAGGCAGGGAAAAAAGGGAAGTAACTTATATAACAGTCACAGACAAAGTCATAAGCAGAACCTGGATCTAACTTGGGTATGCCTGACTACAAAATCTCTTCTTAACCAATTCACTATTCACTCTACATATACTTTTTGAGCCCAACATACAGGAAATAACTTTGGATTTTGTATCTCCTGTGGATTTACTCAGTAAGTATCGCTTCAGACAATGGACATATAATAAATGTTAATTTATAGCATCACTATAACCTGTTCCTAGTCCAGACCAAATATCTGTCTGGCTTCAAAATGGTCAAATATTTTTGAGAAAGAATCTCATCATGTAATTCAGGCTAGCCTTGAACTCACAGCAATCCTCCTGCCTCAGTCTTTTGAGTGCTGAGATTAGAGACATGTACCAGCACAGCTGGCTCTACAATCCTCAAAATTAGAGACTTTTTTTCCTACTGAATTAAGCCTAAAACATTACTATTGTTGTTGTTACTGTCACTGATATATACACATATATATATTATATATAGTGGAGTTTTTTTGGTGGTAGTGGTGGTGGAAATCAAATCCAAGATCCTATACATGCTAGGCAAGTGCTCTACCCCTGAGACACATCCTAACCCCCTGGATTATCTTTAACAATTTACCAGTCCAATTATTTAAATACAGGATGACTAAAAATCATGTATTTTTTCTTTTCTTTTTATAAGATAACAGGAAATATAAAAACAACAATTTTATCAAATGTATTCCATATAAGAATTGACTGGTTGAAATGACACATCAGGATGTTGTACACGTAAGCAGACCTGGTACCTGGATGATGCTTGGGTAAGCTGCCAAGTGGCTTTGGCAAACTAAGAGCAAAGAAACTAACAGGGCTGGCTAATACCTCCATGTGAAGACTAAGAATCCACGAGGGCAAAAACCCAAGAAAACTGACTTCCAGCAGCCCTCCCCACAACACACACACACCGGAGATGGGCACTGAAGCACTGGTTCCATATTTTAAAATCTGCAACAACTTATTTTTCTAGACACAGGGAAAAGGTTTTTTTTTCCCTATTCAGAGGAACCAACCGGCTGTGGCAACTTAGAGCTAGTAAAAACCCTTCCAGATTGTAAGACAGAGCAGTAACACAGGTTGGTTAGGATTCCTGCTCTGCTCCCCACAGGCTACCACCCTGGGCAAGTTATTTCCCTCCACTGACAATTAGTTTCTTCTATTGGTTCTGCAGGGCTCACCTCTGCTTGTAGGTCATCGCTAGGTCTTTCCAATAGTTTGCTTCTTCTTCCTCAGAGCTGAAAGTCTTTCCTGAGTCCTCCATTGTGAAAATGGGGAAGAACTCACTCCTCTTGTGGCATGGTGTCTAGAAGAGACAGTTTTAAAATTACTACTCTTAGGCTGGGGATATGGCTCAGTGGCACAGCACCTGCCTAGCAAGTGCAAAGTCCTGAGTTTGACTGCCAGTACCAAAAAAATAAAATAAAATTACTACCCTTATCTGGGTAAACAGCTAATCTTTAATGGAAAACAAATCCTTCAACTTCATGTGGGATCAAATGACAAAATACTGCCCCCAAACTGAAATTAAGCCCAAACCAAAGACAGCCCACCCCACCTGCGGCACTCCATGGCTTACCATCAACACTTATGTATATCCCTCCACAAATATTTATTGAGCACCTACAGTAAGACCCAGGGATGTAAATAAGACATCTCCAGGATCCCTGCTTTCCCTCAAGGGGGAGGAGATGTCAGCTACATGATAAACCATACGGTGAGGGTAGTGACAGAAATAGAAACAGGATACCAACATATAATAAATCATCCGCATTAAGGGTACATATTTTGTGTCTTCGGACTTCTGTATGCACTTAAGAAACTGCCGCCAATCAACACAATAAGCATTTCTGCAGGGCCCTGGGTACTGAGGAAGCTCAGCCTGAGTCACAGAGGGCTTCCGGGGAGGGACAGTGCCCGAGCAGCCGTGGAGGAACGTGCAGAGGAGGGAGGCCGACAGAGGGGGAGCAGAAGGACCCTACACAGAGGGAAGGGAGAAGCAGCCAGGCATGGAGGGGGAGCTGAGAAAGCTGGGAGGATGAAAGTGGAGGAGGCTGGGCAGATTAACATCGGGAAACTGTATTGCCAAGGGCTTTTCTGACAGGCTAAAAAACTTAGTGGCAACGGGAGCCACTGGAGGGTTTTGAAGGAGACAGTGACATGGTGGGATCTTCACTGAATAGCTTGTCCTGGTGGCTAAGGATGGGCTGAGCAGGCTTCAAATGTGTACCTTCTGAAAGAGAGCAAGGAAGGTGGCCTGAGTTAGAAGGCAGTGAAGATGAAGGCAGGAGGAATGCATTCCAAAAATATTTAAAAGGCAAAATCAGCCAAGCATGTGGAGCAACCTGCAGTCCCAGCTACTTGGGAGGCTGAAACAGGAGGATCCCTTCAGCCCCGATGTCTGAGACCAACTTGAATAACACAGCAAGACCCTGACTCAGAAAAAAAAAAAAAAAAAAATTACTAGCATTTGGCAACTTATTGAGGGTGGGGAGATTAGAAAAAAAGAAGGTGGCAACATCTCCTGGGACTTTAAGTAACTGGGTACCTCTACCATTCCGATCTCCAGAGATGAAAAATACCAGAAGGAAAACTCTCGAGTGGGTGAGCTGGGGAAGATAACAAGCCTAGTTTGGGATATTTTTAGTTTGACAAGTCCATGACACATTCAGATGTAACAGTGGATCTGAAACTCAGGGCTGAAATCCGAGCCAGCAGTCTAACTTGAATCATGGCCTGTGGTTGGTTCTCCAGAATCAGGAGGGACTCTCACCAGGACGCAGGTATTGGAAAAGCAGGCTGAGGAAGAAAGTACAGTGGAAGGAGTCGCAGAAGAGACAGTGAGACATGAGCGCCGGAAAGAGGGGTTTTCAGGGGTAGAGGGCACGTTCCACAGCAAGGCAACAGACGCAGGGAGGATGGAGTCTCCAGAAGGCCAGGACGGTGTCGGCCAGTGGTGTGAGCAAGCGGTTTCCACCTGTGCAGGAGGAAGGAGAGCAACATGCGGTGGGGGTGAGGAGGAGGAAGGAGATGGAATTTTGGAGAAGTGAGCTGAGAAGAGAGGGAGAAGATGAGCAAGGAGCCGAAGAGCGTGTTGGGACCTTACTAGGACGACTCTGGGCTGTCAGGAAAGCAATTTCTAACAGTTCTATACTCCCTGCTAAGACAGAGTCTGATGTCCTAGCTCATCATCTGGCTTTGAGGCCTTCAATTTGTTGAAAACTCGCTGAAGGCCAGGCATGGTCACCCAGTCCTATAATCCCAGCAGTCTGGGAGGCTAAAGCAGGAAGATCACAAATTCAAACCCAGCCTTGGCAATTTATCAGTCCTGTCTCAAAACAAAACAAAACAAAACAAAACAAAAAGAGGGACAGGGATTTAGTTCAGAGTGAAGGACATGAGTTCATCTCCAGTACCTTGCACCCCTGCCAAAAATCACTAGCAGCCTGGCACAGTGGTGCATGCCTATAATCCCAGCACTCTGGAAGGCTGAGGCAGGAAGGTCCCAAGTTCAAGTCTAGCCTGGGCAACTTCACCACTTACTAAGATCCTATATAAAAAAGATATAATAGAAAGATTTTTAAAAGAGTTCAGTGTAAGCCAGGCGTGGTTGCACACTCCTGTAATCCCAGCACTTGGGAGGCTGAGGCAGGAGATCGGTGCAAGTTCGAGGCCATCCTGGGCTACAAAGTGAGTTCAAGGCCAGCCTGAACTACATAGCGAGACCCTGTCTCAAAAAGACAAAATAAATAAATAAATAAATAAATAAAAGCACTCAGTATAAAAGCCCTGGATGGTTCAACCTCTAATACCATGCCCCCCCCAAAATCACTAGGGAGCCAGGTAAAATGTCACCAAGGTCCCTTCCTTCCCTAGAGGAAGTTCATGGGCTTTTGTGTTTCCTTGTGACAAAAGAATGAAGAAACCCAATGCTTAGCAAGATGTAACCAACATACTGTATTTTTGGTTCAAAATACAATCATTAGGCTCTTCTCGCTCTCATTTTCTTCTGTCCCTAACAGAGGAAACATGCCATTTCCTCACTCCTACCCTTCCACTCCCAGGGAACATTTTGTCTGAAAGCTTGATCGAGGCAGAGAAGCTAGATAGAGTAGAAAGTAGCTGATCTGTAGGGTTTTTCGGTTGCTCATTCTTCCATCTGTGACAGCACTGCAATACTCCCTCGAGGAACCCAGCCCTACTCTCACTGCACAGGACTCAGATTTGACATTATCCACTACATCTGGGAGAAAGTATAGGCCTACTCGTGCCTCTAGCATCGGTGACCAGTGCAGAGCAGGGCCTAACCCAAGCTGAGCCCGGGGGTGTGCAGACTAAGGCCTGCTGTGCAGCAATCCAGAAGGAAACTCTGCTAGGAGGGGTAAGCTGGTAGGGGGCAAGCCAGGAACCCTCAGCGGTTACCTTGCTGCCTATCAAAAAGCCGGCGTCTGCCAGGAATGAAGCCAAGAGAGTAAAGCGTTGCCAAGGGATGGGGAGATGGTCCTGACAACATTGTTTCAACAGCCAGATCCATCACACCAGGTTCAGGGTTATGAAAGGTAATCAGTTTCCCCTCCTGGTTAAGCCACATGGGGTTGGCTTTCCGCTACAGGTGAGATCTAATTAGCATATGGAGAGAATGATCTTATTTGCTGAAAGCAAAAGGACAGAGTGTTACTCAAAGAGCAAATGAGCTGAGAGATGGCTGGCTGCGCATGGGTTAGCAGACACTGAGACGTACGGAGCAGGGGGAACCCACAGTCCCTGCCTCAGCTATGAGTGCTGAAAAAGCCCAGATGTGGTCTGAAATGCAGTCACCAAACTGATTCCAGAGTGTCGAGGGCCCAGAGCTGTGTATCTGTAAATGAGCAAGGGGCCATCATGCTACTGGTAATCCCACTGAAGACATTCTCAACTGTGTGGCACAGGAGGAAGGAGTGCATGACAGAGGAATTAGAAACCAATGTGAACTGACTTTCTTGCAGTTTAGAGAAAGAGCATATGCAAGGCCAACGTAATTGGTCTCATGCCTGCTTCTCTAAGTATCTCCTACTCATTTATGTTCAGCCGCTTCTTTCTTTTCCTTGAGCACAGAGAGCTGGCTCTCACCCCAAGGCCTTTGCACTTGCTGCTCTCTAGGCTGCGATGTTCTCACCTCCCATCTCTGCCCAGCAGGTTTCCTTCTTGTCACTGAGATCTCCAGTGTCCTCCCCCAGGGCCATATTTAAATAGCCCATCTAACAGCCTGTCCAGCTTTTACTATGCTACTAACCCCCGCTTTATCCTATTTCATGGCTTTCTGAGTTTGGTATCTGTTCATCTTCCCTACCGAAATATCAGTTTTTCAGTATAGAGACCTTCTCTCTCTTCATTTTTTATCCCTGAAGCCTAGCTAGAACAGTGCTTGGGACATAAAAGGCATGCAATAGGTGAAAGGAGAAAAGCTGCAGACTGACTACTAACTGGAAGGGCTTCAAGGTCAATGAAGGGCAGGAAGCAAGGGCAGAGTGAAGAGATGAGACTCCCTGAAGGCTTCTTTCCACTGTAAATTCCTATGCAGCGTTACAGAGAACTGACCGGGAAGCCTAACTGTCCCCCACATATCTGAGTGATGCTCAAGGGACATGTTCAAAGACTCCATGTGCCTGTGGCCCACCCAGGTTGACATGACAAGCAGCATCTGCTATAGTTACCGGGGTCTAGTAACCCCCCTTCTGGACACTTAGGCCAGATGAGTTTTAGAAAAGGGCTTCTCAAAACAGTTATCCTGACCAATGAGGATTAGAACTTAACTCTCAGGAAAACAATGGGGTGAAATGTTTAGAGGGTGTTTCTTTGGTGCAGGTGAGGGAGGCTCTAGTTACAAGCAAGGAGGTAGGAAGGGTCTGGTTTTGAACTTTAGGGACTGAGGAGAAACTACAGACACTGAGACTTACACCACAGCCAGCACAACCTTTTATACCAACAAATGGACAGAAGTACCTAGAAATGTCACTTCAACCAAAAACTCACGCATTTTAAAAGCAAAACTGAGGGAAGAGCAAGAAATACGCTGAAGATGAAGAGGGAAGAAGTAACAACTGTAGCTTACTTGGTTATGAAACAGCAGTCTTAAAAACATAAGATTTTTTTCTTCGCCACTTGGAAAGGTCTCAGAAATGCTTTTGCACAACTCCACCATAGAAAGTAGACAAGGTGACTTGCAAAAGATTCCTCCTTCTAGAGTACTTACAGAATTCTAGGGTATTTACTGAATTTTATCAATACCTTCTACAGTATTTGCTGGGGTGGGGCATTTAATAAAATCTTTTCTTCCAACATTAGCCACTTTAAGCTGTTCTCCTCGGAGACGTCAACACAGCAGTAACTGTTTCTTAGAAACATAACTGAAGCAGAAGCTCTGTATGCCTAAGTCATCTCTAAAGGCACTGCGGAGTGGCAGAAGCACCCAGACCCAAGTGCAAGGTGTTTGTGAATTCAAGTTCAAGCCCTCCCAAGAGGTCAGACACACTGACTGGAGGGGAGATCCCCTTGTGCTGTTTGGCCTGCAGTTTTCTTAAAAGGCACTGAAACACAGGATGTGTTACTGCCTGGTCACAACGTACGAAGCTTTGCACCTGCTGTTTTAAAAATGGATATTACACCCATGAATTTCACCTGTGTGCAGCTAGCTAGCTTGAACTGTCAATGCATTATCAGCACAATGGGGAAAATATGATGGGAGCCTGACACACACATACGCGAGCGAGAAAAATGCACTCTGGTCTAGTGGTACAAAACTGTTTCACATAACTTGGTTGTATACTTTCTGTAAAATTCCTTTCTGCACCCCTCCCCATGTTTCCAATTAACAGGAATGTCTAAATATACACTTGAGATACACACTTCTGATTTCAAAACACTAGAAAAAACAAAGTGATCTCTTTTGGCTTTCCCCTAAGTGAAGAAAACCTGCAAAGCTAGTCAGGAGTAATGCACAGACAGACAGACAGACACACACACACACACACACACACGCTCAGGACTTCACACCCTTCTCCATCCCAACCCCACATCCTTCCCAATCAAAGCACATGGAAGCCCCACAGGGAAAGGAGGGCAGAGAGGGAGGCTGCCTGGTGTCGGCAGGTTCCAACAGTGGCTATGTTAGGACTCAGGCATTTTGCAGAAGTGACATCACAGGGGCAAAATGAGTCAAGAGTCAGCAAGCCAGGCTTGCCTTTGTGCTTTCAAAACCTACAGGGATCACTGTACATACAGAAAAGCAGGGAGGCAGGCAAGGACATGTGCTCAAGGATGGACTAGAAAACTGCAGAAACCTAAGTATCAACAAAGGACCGATGGGAAAAACACGAAGTGTTTCAGAAACGTGGCACGTAGAAAGACGAAGTTTACGTATGTCATTTTTGTTGAGTATTCTGGGGTAGGATGACATTTTAGGTCCTGGGTACGGTGCTTTGAAGAATAATTGGATACCTGCTACGTCAGAGGCCATGTATGCCATTTTTGTTTCTCTCCCCCTCTCTGCAATACTGATTTTTTTAAAAAAGGGCCTGAAGGAGGAACCACAATGCGAGTAGAGCTGGCACTCAGATGTGTATTTTTTTACAACAGACTTTACAGTTTTTTTATAGTAAGGACTTTTTTCTACCAAGAATTTTTAGAAAAACTTGCACCTGGAAAAAACAGAATAGCTATCATTCCAAGACAATTTTATTTTACTGAACCAAGATGCCAGGGAAATTTCCTTCCGTGGTCCGCACCCCATTCCTTTTCAGTCATTTCTTGGACACCTACTAAGTGACAGGCACTAATGGAAGAGGTTGATGCACATTGCCTACAACCCCAGGCCTCACGCAGACGCAGTACCAGCTGCAGAAGCCAACTCTGGGCCCGGGCAGGCTGGGTTAGGAAATTACCTTTCAAGGAAAGGCCCTGTAATCTCTCTGAGCTCACAAGTTCTCAGGCAACAGAACACTTTGAAAACAAAAATAACATCCTCACAGTGTAAGCCACGTCAGAAAACTACTACCCAAAATGGGATAAAATATACAAATCTGAGACCCAGAGACTTCAAGGGCACGGATCATCAGCATCCAACCTTACATCAAAGACACACTAAGGGGAAAAGAATTACCTTTCCAAACTGGTTCAATATCAGTGTGGCGGGGGCAGGGGGCAGAGCGGTCAGATAACCAAGGCCTCCGAAGTAGCGGGTATCCGATTACTCTTCAAAGCACCCTACGCCAGGACCCAAAACGGCATCCTACCCCAGAATACGCTGAAACAAAACTCTCCCAGAAAATGATAAACCTTGGCCCAGCACGCGCTGAGGAGGCCCTTTCTTTAGAAAGGAAGCTTAAAAGGGGCCTGGGCCTAAAAGTAGCAAGACCGAGGCACAACCTGGTACAAACCCTGGACAAAGCCATGTAGAGTCGCTCTCCAGGTCTCAGAGGGCTGAGAACCTGGTATGACTTGGAAAAGATGAAAGAGCTTCTCCACAGGCGGCGTCCAGGTGACGGCGGGCTTGCTTTCCCACGACCTCGGAGAGGCAGGAAGCATTTTCCCCTTTATCCAGTCCTGTCCCCAAAGTGCTGCCCGAGGAAACCTGAACTGGCCTGCAGCACAGAGCTGAGAAAAGCGAGGGAAGGCGACTGCCCTAAACGTGTTCCCAAAGGGAGGGGACACAAAGGAGGGGGAGGCTTCTGGAATGAGGCCTGTACCCGGGTGGAAAGTGGGTGTAAGGGCGGGGGCAGGGTTAGAAATTAAACAATGAGGGGGCAGGTAGAGGTGGGGGCTGCAGAAGCTGAGGGGCAGGGAAGAGGGGGTAGAGGGGAGGAGGGGCGGAGGGGCGGAAAAGAGGCGAGGGGCATATAGCAGGGGAACTAGGGGAGGGAGGGAAGAGGGATGGAGCCCGGCAGCCGCTTTGGGACCAGAAGGCGGGACGACCGAGAAATCCTAAGAGGGTGTGCAGCGGGGTAGGAGAAACTTGCCGAGAAAGAGAAACGAAGTTGGCAAAGGCGAGAGCCGGGCGCGAAGGACGCAGGGGGGTAGGGGAGAAACTTAGCAGGGAAGGCTCCAGGGAAGCGGGGCTTTCGGGGACCAGCGAAGTCAGGGCAGCCGGACAGCACGCGCGGCAAGGGGCGCGCAGGGTCCCTGCCAGGCGGTGGCGGGGGCCGGACAGGGCGGAAGAGCTCGCTGCGGAGACCCGAGCGGCCACCGCCCGGCCGGCGACGGCTCCCACTTACCCGGCTGGGGCGGAGAAGAAGCGATGACCGCCGCGGCCAAGGCTGCG